GAACGAAAAAAAAAAGAAAAGGAAAACGTAAGACTGCCTTGAAGTCGTGAAAGAAAAAGAAAGTGAAAACGAATTCGTTCGCCGCTAAAATTTGCCGTGTGACTCACGGTACAGAATTCAGAGAAGGATCTGTGTATGAATTGCGTAACACGAAGGTACTGGTATAGAAGAAACATCGATAAGAACGGAAAATACGGAGACATAAATAGGATTACAAAAAACGTAGGCCAAACGCGGAATCGTCCACAGTTACCTGTTTGATAAATGTTTAAGGGGGCCCAAACTTAGAATAGATGTAGCACCGAGTGCACCTAAATTACAAGTATTAGGATTTCTTGCACCGTCTATCGTGATTATGGGCAATCCGAAGTAACCGCCAGTTTGAGCGCTAAGCTGCGACAGCGGTATATAACTCTGTATACCGAGGTTCGACAGACGACTTAATACGTGCGGAGATTTCAAATCCACAACCGGCAATGCCAGCTCTGCACCGCCGTTTTGTGCTACGGTATCTACTTCCTTATGATACGCTTGTTTGTGCGTTATCAATGCCTGAGCCGTCGGGTACTGGGCAGGACAAAGATTGCACCTGACGAACAAAATGTTATCGTATGTTATTACTCTAAGAACCATAAGAAGGACCATGTTCGGTGAACTTACTTGTGAAGTAATTTGCTCGGCGCACGGTGTGTAGCCATGTGTTGCGTCAACATTTCCTGATTCTGGAAATTTTTATCGCACACTTGGCAGGTAAGCAAAGACCTGCAATGACACGTGAATCATAGTTCTATCATTCAGTTCTATCGCATTCTATCTCTTACCGAGGAGGCCTTCCACGCCTGACCACTGGCAATTGCGGCGGACCATCTTGCGTTAGATCAACAGTGGGCGGTCTCGGTGGTCGTTCCACTTCATTCACCGCCGTTTTATTCTGTTTATTCTGAGGAACAGCGAACTGACCTTGGTCCTGTTGCTTTTTTTGTGAACTAGCTGGTATGATAGAAATAGCAGAATTCAGAGTGAGCGCTGTAACATTTAAAGGCTGCTGTGAAGGCATGGTCCTCTGTTGCTGGGAAGGTATCTGCTGTTTGTTTTGTTCGCTTGTTTTATTTTTATTTGCAGCTGGAGTAACAGTAATACCTCTGGCTGCCAGGACATTAGCCACAGCCTTTGCATCGGACTTCTTGCCACCAGTACCTGATGTATTCTGCACTTGAGCTGGAGCGGAACCTTTAGATTAGTAAAATGTTCCCTTTTATTTCTGTAGTCTACCTCTTCCGCGAATAGTTATTGCAATTGTTTCTGCTATGTTTCTACTCAAGATAAATCGAGGTGAACAGAAACCCAGATATTTGGAAAGAAATCAATATAAAACAGGAAAACAACTTTACAAAAATAATAAAACTAATTCTTAGAAGAGGTTCCAACAGAAAAAGGTTACTATACGCAACACGATCAATGTAAATTAAAAAATGTACACACATGTGTATGTTAAGTGACATTACCTGGTTGCCGTACGCTGAGAGTTATAGAATCCGTCAGATGTATGGTAGAATCATTTCTGCTTTGCTGCGTGGTGGCACCCTGAACGTTCTGTATAACAGGCAGACCGTCGTTTCGCTTTTGTTGAGCGATAACATGACAGTCCGCGTCCTCGTTTCTATCTGGCAACAGAACGTCCATCCGTCGTTGCTTTAGGGTAGAATTATTCTGTTGTTGTACTTGCATCGATTGCTGAATAGGACGCTTCATCCTTTGCCGGGGAGTTGATCCAGTTTGTGGGGTACGCGGTGCCCTATAAATGCGTAGGCAAAAGATAAGCTGTATCATAGTTCATTTAGAAAGTAAATGGTCAGTAGTAACAACCATATGCAATAAGATTTAACTGACGTAGAGGAACTTCAACTTTAAACGGGACAAATATTCCATTTAACACAATAACATACGATCTCGTTGAACTCTGACTGAAAATATATTTCTAGAAAATACACTGAATGTTGTGATTAAAACAATAATACTTGCCGACTACTTTGTGCAACTGTGGGATACCTTCCACGGGAAATTTGCGGAGACAACTGAGGATGCATTTGCGGCGGTGCAGTCATTTGCGGATATGGGCCAGGTCCATACTGCGAATATAAGTGTGTTATATGAGGAGGATAATGCATGCCCTGTGGACCAGGAACTCTATACAGCGGTGGCCTTCCCGGCGGTTGTACAAAGTAATTTGGACCAGGGATCATTGTATTAGCACCTGGTGGAAGACTCGGAGGCATTTGCGTTTGCGGAAGTGGCATACGTTGTACTTGTTGAGCTAACTGCTGAACGGGTGCAGGTAACTGCTCAAAATTAACAGGTGGAATTATTTGTCCAGTATTAGGTACTGAATTGTACGTAGGAGAATTCGTTTGGTGCGGAGAAGTTAAAGGCGAATTTCTACTTATTTGCTGTGAATTCGGTGTGTTTGGAGATTCCATTGACACAGCATGAGGCGAGTGCGTGCTCAGTTGCGGTGAGGCTTGACTCAAGTGAGGCGAATTCTGATTTAAATGAGGCGAATTTGTATTCAAATGAGGAGACAACTGGCTCACACTTGGAGACAATGGTGTTCCATGCATTTGAGCTTTATGCATGGATACTTCCATCGGTGAATTAAAAATAAGATTAATGCACTCTGGAATATTGCACTGATAGTGGCCTGCTTTGCTCCTGTGCTCATCTAAATGAGCAATATCTTTAAATTTCTCATTACAAACACGACAGGTACTAACAGTTTCAGCTAACTTTTCCAGCGAAACATATTCTGTTTCTGGTGGTAAATTATTTGATAATGTGTCATTTTGATTATGTCGTTGATGTTCAATCAAGTTTTGTAAAAGAGATCCAGCATTTTCAATGTTGTTGTCACCTCCATGCTCAGATTGTTCTTCATTTTCTTTGGAAGGCTCACTATTTTTACTAGACAAATTAGTAGACAACTGGTTCCAATTAAAACCTCCTGTTGTCCCCTCTGTTGTTTCTTCAGGTTTATCTTCATCTTCGCACACTGTTGTACAATTTGCTGAATGATTTGAATACGTTGAAGACTTTGAAATAATACTAATAGCTGGATTCTCTTTCAAATCGTGTATCATGTTGGATTCTTGTTCCCTCTCGTCATCTTCAATACCTGAATTGTCTGTTAACTGACTCCCAGATCTTGATCTGAAAAATAAAGTGGAAGATTATAATAAATCCAAAAAATATGTTGTAATATGCAATAAAACTCATAAGAGATTGTCCCACTTGTCAAACATCTTTCATCAATAAATAACATTTACCCAGATTGTTCACCAAGCTTTTTTAAGTTTTCAATTGTTTCTCGACACGTTGCCTCCAACGCGTCTGATTCTTCATGATCTTCAGACTCTGATAGTCTTTTGTCTGCACTGTCATATTGATCTGTACTATGCAGGTCATCAACATTTTGATCTTCCTTTTCGGATGGATTTGCCATATCACTCCCTACACCTGAATCACCTTCATTTACATCTATGGATGGTCTATCATTTTCTTCCAAAGGATTATGATCGTCAGTGTTAAATTTAATGTTCCCATATTCATCCTATTAACATTTCTTGTAAGATAATAATGAAAAACTTGTTTTAAGTTATTATTGTGACATACCTGTTGCTCTACCATCACGTTTTCAAATGGTTGATTGATCGAACTTTCCGCATCTTTCTCATGTCTTTGATCATTTTCCTTTGTTCCAGCCACGTCTTCTTGACGATGAATCTCCGTACCCAGATTAATATTGCTGTTCACAACTGTGAAATCTTCCGACTTAGAAGATTTTTTCAATGTAAGTTTCAGAGAATCCGAGAAATTCTGTTTCTTCAATGTTAATTTCAACGAGCCCTTTTTCTCCGGATCTAACCAGTAAGTGTTGTTATGTTTCTTCTTTACTGTTTTCAAGTTTGTAAGTCTCCTCAAAACTACACGAGGCGTCCCCAAATGAGTATATATATGAGAACGTAATTGCTTCTTCGACACAAATTGTTCCCCACAAATTTCACAATTCAACAATGAAGACCTTAATGTAAATATCGAATTTCTGTTATCTATGTTTTCGCCTGAAATAGAATATATATAAAATATCATTGTCAAAGACACATTTTAGCGTTCGTTGTTTTATTCTGTGATGCACCATTATTATTATCCTTTTTATTTAAAAAACAGAAAAGGAATGTAAAGATAGCAGAGCTAACCACCTCTTGTAGGAGAATCTTGTAAATGAAAATGACCGTAGTAATTTGCCGCGCTTTCGTATCTTTTATCAGATCGATTGAACCAATATCTTCGTCTATTCGATGCGTACGAAAGTTTTAACGTCGGTATCACACTTATACGATTTTCAGTTCGAACGTTTACTCGGTGAACCAACGCGCGTTCCCCGTGTTACAACAGATGTAAACAATCGATGGCGATATGTATATGCAGCAGTAGCAAGTGATCATGCAAAATGATTGTAGCAGTAGCGAACTAGCGCAGGCGGGATAATTGCCCCAGCTTTTGCCGAGAATTGAAAACAGGACTCACTAAATCGATACCACCTAAAGAACTGATATCATTGGCCGGTTTCGTATTACCGCAATATTCCCGCCATAAAATCGTTCATATTAAAATACGTTTCCAGTGCGATAAGATTGCAAACGTCTAGCTAGTTTTACAGATCACGATACCGCGTTCAGCTCATTTAAATGAAACACCCGGCTAGTTTTATTCGCAATCAATAAAATAAAGTAACCGACTAAAAAATGACAGCTTTAACACCGCTGTTTCGTAGCTTTACTTTTGCAGAAGGACGGAACGTAAAATTGTATAAATTTCGTCAGAACAAAATGGAAACGTAAGGTCATGTTCCACCTCGTTCGACGTAAATATACTGGTAATGTAAATATCGGAATTCATTTAATTGTTTGCTGTCACTAGTGTCCTAACCTACATGCATGATCTTTTGGTACTTAATTCCTATGCAAGACAAATGATTCGGCAAATAAATTAACATGTTCAAATTATAAACATACAAATGAATTTGAATAAATTTATATTCATATCGATTTTTAATTTACACTTCTGAACATTCCCTTTACAGGCGAAGCTATTTTAACTGTGCTTTATAAGATGGAATATTTTCCAAATCACTGTATTTACATATTCTTTAAATAATAAGTACAAGAGGCAAGTAGAACAAATCTGCCAAGTTTATGAAAATTAATAAAAAAAAAAGATATGAGACACAGAAATTGTGTTACATCAAGTTTAAATAAAAGAATATTTCGTTTAATATTAACATTATTTTTGAAGAAGTTAACGTTGTCTGACTTTGTAACTACCCATTGTTTCGAGATATATCTCGTTCAATAGTTTGAACGAGGAAAAGGACATACCAAATTTTTGTACATCGTCCACCGTACTGTCCTTACAAATGTTCCTTTTATCAGTAAATCTAAATTCCTCAAAGTCTTGATCCAATGAACTGTTCATTTCCAATCTGTACACAAACATCAATTGATTAATTCATTGATTATTAATCACTTTTCTTTCAGAAGGTACAACAGTTTTATGTTTAATCATATACGATTTATTTACCAATGATAATATTTTTATCTCTTATGTCATACTTACAGGCATTGTTATCAACAATGCAAATTGTACGAGGTCATCGACAAGGATTTATCTTGATGTAAACAATTAACTTCATTGGCGAACGCGGTGGGAATATTTACCGACGACGATATGCACATACAATATAATAGGTTTCAATAATTAACAGTTCACATGTTTCCACACGATAACAATAGTTCCCAAACAATCACTAGAAGAACAAAAATCAATCAAAATCCCGTGAACGTTGTACGAGCTTATGGAAGAACGCTCATTAGTGTTTACAATCGGTGGCGAAGCGTTGATCGTGGAACAGGACCAATTAAACAATCGCGACGCAAACCTCTCAACATGCGTCGTCGAACTTCATCACGTTCACCGTGTACAGGTGAAAAAGAAAAAACAATAATAAGTTTACTTCCGACGATTGTTCTACTATCGTGACAAGGTGTGTGTGTCGGTGTTCAAGTTTATTGTTCAATTTTAAAAATACCGTAGTCACGATCTCGTTCGGCTCGTACGAATATTAAAATGAAAAAGAATTTCAAAAGCAAAATAACGGAATAAAAGAAAATAACAGAATAACGTGGAAGAAACGTGTGTACAGTTCAATCGTTGTTGTTCGGCCGACGAAGTTTCTCCCGCGTTTCTCGCATTATCAGTCAACTATGGCTGCTTCAATGGTTATGACATGATCACTGCGCTGTTTATGGCACATTTTGTTGTAGCAACATTCAACGGAGATGAGATCGGCGCGTCAACTGCGATGCCAACCGTACCCAATTTCAACTTATTATTAGTACGTGTTATATCGAGCCGCCAATATGGCGGCGTCGCGATGAAACCCGCGCGTCGGACAGGATAATCAACTCAGTGTGAATTCGTGCCGAACTGTTGAGGCGCGTTCAGAGACGGTTCAGTGTTCAGATGCGTTGTTTTGTAAGGACGCGCGCGCGCGAACGGGGTAGCGTGCGCCGACCGCTCTGCAAATGCCGGCCTTCCCCCTTCTCCGCTTTCCTCTCCTCGCCGCACTTCTCGACGTTCCGCGTC